TTGTCTCGTCGTATGCAGCGTCTCACAGTTCTGAGAAAACTTTTAAAATTGAGCAATTTAGTGGGAAATAGACCAAGAGATTGATTGAAATGGAAAGAGTTTATCATCTAGCAACCACTTTGAGGCTAAATTCCATACGGTATTCATTAAGCATTTCTTTTCCTGATTCTGTGGTGTTTCATTCGTTCTAAGCCTTCTAGACCACATACAAAGAGTTTCAATGTGATCGTTTGTTAACTTTGTGCAAATGAAGTCTTCAAAACGAAAAGGCTGAGCAGAGGATTGTCAAGTTGCTAAGGACAAATTCCAGTGGTTCTCGAGGGTCCGGTCAAGTATTAAACGCCGCACACGGTCGAAGTCGTTAATTTACACACGTCGAATTGGAGTGAAACATACGTGTCGGGAACAAAGCCACGCGCGTCTGAACGAGTCGGACGCGCTTCACTTTTGGCATGCGCCGTTAGATACCGTGGATGCCATTTTGACCTCATTCCCCAACTATCGATTAGGACGTCACCCGACTGTTTTATACTTCCTTGCGTTCCAAGCCTCCCTTTCAATAATTTTCGGAATCTGGCAAGGTACAATTCTATGTGTTCAATCATGGATTTGAAATTATTCATCAGAGTAGACAGGTCGACGTTGGTCATGAAATTTCATTTTATTGCTTCATTTGTGCTCTCAACATCCAAAATGAAGAGTTAACCTCGCTTTCAAATTCAATATGGCCGTGAGTAAAGGCTATAGCTGTAGGCTCGTTTACAGAAGACCTTTGATATTTCAACCAAACGAATTTCTGTTTTACGGAAATAGGCTGGAGTATATTTGGATCAATACTCTCTCGACATATCTTCATATCCGTCGAAGTGATGTGTTATCCGACTCACAATCAGATTTCGTCAATGGTCGCCTGCACGACTGTTGGTGAGGTCAGTTCATTTACGACTCAGAAAAATTTATTTCGAGGGGTTTCGAGTTTTCGCCGCCACTGCACCCCGTGGTGTCATTTCGCGTTCGCCCTCCAACTCAGCCCTCACGCGAATATATTTGTTTCCACCGTGACAGTGAAGGTTCACGCTTCGCACGCAAAGGAATAAATCTGCGTCATTTTCTGTCAATCGCGTGCTAGAGTCCCCCGTCGGTGCATTACAATAAAAGAAACTGCCACAGTTGCGAGAGCATACCTGCAGAGACCCGATCGAAGATCTCTTGGGGTGATTCTGCCGTCGGTTTCTGATGTGAGCAGGTCGCCAGACCATGAAACATAATCTGCCTGACGGCGCATTGCCGAGATAAACCTCAGGCTCATTTTTCCTCGTGTCTACATCCGTGTGGTTAAATACATATAACTCTTACGATGAAAATGCATGTGGAATGTTACAGAGCAGATTAATCGCTTAAAAACTTACCTGTCAATACTTCTCAGAAGATATTCCAAGTGCATGCTTTTCGAAACGGTACAATTCCCACGGTGACTGAGGGTGTCCGATGTGTAGGCACGTCTTTCCAAGGTTGCGAACGTGTCGTCGTTTGAAGAGACAGTAACAGTGATTCCCAAATTATAGCCACTATAGCCAAACTCGCTTCTCGGTGATGTACAGATAGAATG